AACTGTGCAGAAGCTAGTGAGGGAGGGAGAGGGAGGACAAGCATGGAGAGCAGTGTGAGGAGAGGGCCAGCACCCAGGTGAAGGAGATCCCCAACAGCTCGGGCAGAAAAGCTCTTTCTGAAGGTAAGGACTTGCCTTCTAGGCAACCCTGCCTCTGGGGCTGCGATAGGCAAGGCTGGCCTCTTGGGTTCAGACAAGAAAAGGAAGTGAGGCTGCAACCAGGATCACACAGAATGGCCACCTGAGGACAGCGCCTCTGACTCTCGGGCAGTAGTCATGGGAGTTGTTATTATGGAGAAAAGTGGCAATTTTTCATCCATAAAAAAAGTTAAAGCCCTAGCCAGTTTGGCTCAGGGGCTAGAGTGTCAGCCTGCGGACTGAAGGGTCACGGGTTCGATTCTGGTCAAGGGCACATACCTGGGTTGTGGCTCGATCCCCAGTAGGGGATGTGCAGGAGGCAGCCGATCCATGATTCTCTCTCATCATTGATGTTTGTATCTCTCTCTCCCTCTCTTTCCTCTCTGAGATCAATAAAAATATATATTTTTTAAAAAGTTAAAGAAAGCAACTACCTCTGTGCAGAAAGATCCTAAAGGAGAACTTGAGGAAGAGACGGTGAAACAATGAAACATGAGCTAGCAAAACGCAGGAAAGGAGCCCTAACCAGTTTGGCTCAGTGGATAGAGCGTCAGCCTGCGGACTGAAAGGTCCCAGGTTCGATTCCGGCCAAGGGCATGTACCTTGGTTGCGGGCACATCCCCAGTAGGGGGTGTGCAGGAGGCAGCTGATCGATGTTTCTCTCTCATCGATGTTGCTAACTCTCTATCTCTCTCCCTTCCTCTCTGTAAAATATAAATAAATAAAAAATTAAAAAAAAAAAACCGCAGGAAAGGAGGGGAAAATCCCGAGAAATGAACACAAATGGGAAGAAACACAAAGGAATACAGGCACCAGGGAAAGCACAGACATGGAGGAGGGATGAAATGAGAAGAGCAGTGAAATAAAATGGAAACAAAGGAAGAGGTGAGAAGGATCAAAGAGAATGATAGAGACAGACGTTAGACAAAGGAGAATCAATAAATATAACTGGAATTCTCAAAAAACTAAACCACAGGAACAGAACAAACAGCTTCACCTATGAAGATATAAGAACTCTTGAAAGGCACTGTGTGTGCCAAGGAAAACTAACCCAGGGTGGTTCATAATGAGACAAAGGGTAACAAGGAAAAAGATCAAACCATCATGGGGGAGGAAAACCAACGGGTCTCAGATTTCTCTGCAGTAACACTCAATGCCGACAGATAGTGCAGCAGCAGCTGCCAGTTATGTAAGAAAAGAAACGCATGCCAAGGATGTTATGTTCAACAGGGCTGTCCTTCAAGTATAAAGCTGACAGGCAAATGGCTTTGAATATACACAATTTCATGGACTACTGGTCCCATGAGCCCTTCCAGAGGAAACTATTAGGAGATGAATTTCACTCAACCAAGAGATAAAGGGAACTGGAGCACAAAGATTGGGGATGAACATCTGATACATATAACTTTAGAACAGAAGTCTGTAAGAGCCATGGCAATTAGGGTGTTAAAACAGAATATAATTGTTATGCAGAGATGTAGAAATGATACTCTAATCAAAATTGGGGTTGAGGGGAAAGAAGATGGAATACAGGATAAGTTCGTTGATTGCCTTATCCTATATAATCCTA